TACATGGGAACTCTGTGCTTTCTGCTTGGTTTTGCTGTAATCCTAAAACTGCTCTAAAAAATAAAGTCTATTGAAAAATAAATATGTAAATGTATAGGGGAAAATCTGTGTGTATGCATATGTACATATATGTGTATGCATACACACATACATGCATATATGTATGTATTAAATGAGACTGTGTACATTTATAAAATGTAAAATTATATATAGAGACAACACATGAACAAGTGTTATCGTAAGCCACATCTGTTAACAAAAGCAGTATTCATACACATACACACATAATTTATGACTTTGTATACGCATATATTTTCAATCTTTATAGTAGCTTTTGAAATATATAAATATCTTTGTCATTTTAGTGACATGCGATCCAAGACTTAGAATGTTTAGGGGTCTTCCAAAGTTCACACTGCTCTAAGGGTCACAGCAAGGGCTTAACCCTGACTTCTTTGGTTAACCATTATTATAATCATATTATTACCTTCCTCTGCTGAAATTATAACAATATAACTGGAAACATATTTTTTAAAACAATGTAATAAAATTTACAAATTACATATTTTGGTAATTTTGTGTTTGAGGAACAGCTTTTAAAAAATTAATTAGGTAATAAAAGCAGCAAGAGGAAGAAATATTAAATCTATCTTGGGATGTAAATAACTTTCAGCCTGTGATGGCTTAGGTGAAATCCCATGCCTTAGGGCATGAGGAAATGTTTTTTTCTCAAATTTTCCTCAAGCCATGAGATTCTGTGCACTGACCTGATTTGATTTGGGGAATAGTGCTGTTGGTATTGAAATTCAGTATTTTTTACTTTTAATTTAGGAAAGTCACTTTCCCTTTATTTAAAATAGGTATGTTGCCTGAATTATTGAGTAGCCATGTCCCTTAACAGCAACTCTAATCACTTTTATGATGGATAGAAGACGTACACATCATTACTGTGAAGTTAATTTAATTCTGTTCACGTTAAAATTTAAGCAAGTCTTTAACCACATATCACTGTCATTTCCTAAGTTTTTTAAGTATCCCCTGAAATGGCCAGTTTATATATCAATGTATTTTTCAAACTGTAAAATGAAAAAGATTAGCTGACACAGTGCAGTAGCCCCAAACACAATGGGACAAAGCAGGTGAATTGCCTCAGAGGCAGCTTTCTTAATGTTTGACTTTCTCTACATTTATTGAATACTTAGAAGTGCCAGAGGTGGTACAGGGCCTAAAAAGGATTTGCTTATCGGGATTTAGAGGCCAAAATTTAGACAGTCATATGACTGTAAAATCATGAGAACAATTCTAATTCAACATTTAGAAATGTAGGGGATTTTGTATGATGGATTTATGATAATTCTTCTACATAATTGAGGGGAATTGGCAGATACTACTCTGTCTTATTTAGTGTGGAAGTTTCTTACAGAATGTAGATTGAAAGATGGCAGTAAAAAGAAGTCCTCCATTTCCAGAGAAATTCAGGAAGTGGGAGTATTAACTCTCTGGTAAACTGATCTGTTATTAAGCCTCAATTACTTCCTTTTACCCACCCACACTATCTATCCTCTTCATACAGGCAAGTCACCAGATTACAATGGTCTGTGATCGCAACTGGAATGCATTCTCTGCCATAATTCAAGTACACAAGTCCTAGTCCCCCCAGCATGACACATTCACAAGGATATTTCCCCCCAAGAATTTCATCTCAGGAACTGCACCAATATGTCCTTTCCTATGTAAAGCATCAGTAATGTCTTTTATTACTCTGTATAAATTATTCTCATTTAATCTCATTGAGTGAGAACTTAAAACTTTACCCAGGTTTTTCCAAATTAAAAGGATATCAGAATATTTTATGTCTTCAAGATAGCTTTAAAATAGTAATGCTCTAACTTTAATATTCTTGAGAATCTATTCCAAGTCAGCACACAGTTGGCTATACATATTTCCTCTACTGATAGTTAAATACTGATGAAAGATAAATGAAGAAATATCTGCAGGATGTTGCTTCCTTACTGAAATGAAATGACGAATTATACTGATCACTAGGAAAATAGCGTGCTTGTTTCTTATGAGCCATGTAGGTTTAGTGACACATTTCTACTATTTGTTTTAAAAAATGAGATACACTTTTAAATAAATGCTAGCAGAATAATTTTTTAAGGAAAATTCACTCTAAATCCATCCTAGAAATTCTATACCTGTAGATGTACTTAAAGAATACAGCTTAGCAAGCATTGAAGCCAATAAATCAGACAAATATCTTCAAATTCAATAATCAGATATATCTTTATGACTTTGACAACATTTGATGATCAATTGGTTATTTGACTTTTCAAAGGGTTAACTAATGCCTGCTTTAATAATACCTTGAATAATGATAATGGAAATTTTTGTTTCCATGTGATCCATTTTGATAGAAACCAAATTGTCACACTGACCTTTCTTATGGCATGTTTTTCTGAATGTAATTTCTAAAAGGGGGAGACTTAGCAATTTGTATTGTGCTGAATTTCATTTATAGTTGCTTTCATAATTTACTTGGCATACATTTATTTTCTGGAAATGTTTATTGAACTCTTATGAATAGTTGAGATGTACCCAGCATCCTTCCCCCTTTTGTCCTCAACCCTGCTACTTCTTGTTGACCCACATCTTACAGGAAAGGGGCTTTGCCTTTTTGCATGGGTGAAGCACATAAACTAATTTAACCAATCAGCCCAATAAAACCCTATACCAAATAAATTCAGTAAAGGTTACTCTCAGTGTTTTGGAAATTCTAGAAATCAGATTTCCTCTCTACCATGTATGAAGAGTGCAGATATGAAGCCCAGAACATCTGTAGTCATTTGCTGCCAAAAATACAATCTGAGAGGAACAGAGCCCCAGAAAATCCCAGGGAAATTGATCTGGGCCCGAATCATGTTTAATGTCAATCCCAATTTAGCTCTTGGCATTGCCAGTCATGTGAGGAAATACTTTTCTTGCAATCATTTGCCAGTTTGAATCAGGCCTGCACTTATTGGAAAATGAATTACATACATAATGGATAAGAAATTTGTTACCAGGAATGAGGTTACAAGTAACAGAGGAGAATTCTTTAAAAGTGAGGGAAGGGCTTCCCTGGTGGCGCAGTGGTTGAGAGTCTGCCTGCCGATGCAGGGGACACGGGTTCGTGCCCCAGTCCGGGAAGATCCCACATGCCGCGGAGCGGCTGGGCCTGCTCACCCAGAGCCTGTGCTCTGCAACGGGAGAGGCCACAACAGTGAGAGGCCTGCGTACTGCAAAAAACCAAACAAACAAAAAAAACAGGTAAAAGTGAGGGAAGTGAGAAAAAAGACCACTCTGAAAAATCTTTGTTTTACAATTGCATGGTGGTTGGTTAAAGTGAAGTTATTGTACTTTGGACCTAGAGCATGTGCTACCAAAACTATTGTATTTGGCAACTGAGAAAAAAAGAAATAGTAGGATGATGGATTCTACAGACAAAACAGAAACAATCTTGCTTTGTTATGTACCTCTCAAAGCAGAAAGAATAGAAAAGAATGTTTTGCCAAGCGTGGCTTCTCTGTCTTTGGTGTGCAATATACCTGTATTAAGTTTAATTTGCAGGAACCCCCATGATTGGGAAAGTTGAATTACTTACAACAAGCCAAATGCAAGGTTATCAGAAGCAGAGATATGAGAGACATGGTAGGAGAATATAGAGAGGAATAGGAAATATATGGCCTTATCCTAGCATATTTTTAAAGCACTGTCTCCTGAAAAAAATACAAGCACTCACATTATGGAAATAATATCAAACTAAAGGTTGAGAGAAGAGAATAAATATAATAAATACTCACCACTACAGTCCATTGGCTTCTCTAAAGATACAACATATACCTATATATACATATATATATACACACATACATATATGCATATATATACATATATGCATATATATATATACACATATATATCTCCAAAATATATCTTATACAGATAAATATTTCCCAATTAAAGATGGAAGCAAAACTATATTTATAAAATTATTTTGAAAAGCCTTCATAAGAATATGATTTTCACATTATTTAAGGTTAGTATATTAAATGTTTTCAACATGTAATTAGATGACATTCTTTTTACAGATATAAATCAAGTAAGCATTATTTTTCAAAATGATTTACAGGTTAAACAATATTCTTCTAAGATGCTGTGGATACCAAACACTACAAATCTCATGAAGAATAATTTTTAATACACATACCAAAAAAAGTTATTTAAGTCTGATTTCCTCTGTACAGTCTTTAATTTTCTGATTTCCAGTTTACAAGTGTTTAAAATGGACAAGTATGATTTTTCCTCTTAGTAATAATGTTGATTCAAGATATTTTGATTCAATATATGGCAATAAGTCTCCACATGTTAACCATTAGTATCTTGTTTTTTTTAGTGGGACGTAACACTAACAACCACTACCTACAAAACGCATCATTATTTTGGTGGTTTTACAAATCTCTTCTCCACTTGTCAATTCAAAAAAAAAAAAAAACATTCTAAGAATTAGGGAATACGGAAAACTTAATGAAATTGACTTCCAGATTTATAATCTTTCTATTTTATCCTAGAAGAGAACATTAAAAATATGTCATTGCTATAAAAGACCATCTTGTTAACGTTACAAAAAGATTGGTGGGAACAAGAACTGTGTCACTGATACCTGGAGCTTTGGAGTTATCTCTACAAATTAGGAAAATGTTCAAAGGTAAAAAAAGAAATATAGCAATCCCTAAACCATGTTGATGATGAGTAGCTTAGTCTAAACTAAATATTTTTCCACCCATAATAATCATCCTCCCCTCAAATGCCTTTTAAAAACATACATTACACAGTACAGTAGCAGAAATCAAGGACAGCACAGACTATTTTCAAGAACAGAAAAGTCTCTAGCGAAGAAAGGTATCTTATAGCAAAGAGCAGACTTCTTTAGAGACATTAGTCAATTAACTTGCAATTCATTATGAAGATTTTTCTTTCCTCATAGGGGGAGAGTCTACTCTATTTGAAGTTGCCACACCGTTTTCTGTTCCTTTTCTAGAAAACCTGCCCTTAGTCCGTTTCTTCTTCACACTTGGGGCCTGAAGAGGAGCATCTTCTTCCATCCACCTCTGAAGCTGAACATTAAATAAATTCCATGTTATGTATGCTTGGATAGTGCAACTGGATGACAGAACAGCAATTTTCGCTGCCAACACGTTCACATCTTCGGTAGTGCCATCCGAATTCCCATTCTGCCCTCCAGCCAGGTGAAAACCAACAGTGATCACAGAAACAATTAAAGTCACGAGTCGACCCAAAATAAACACAATGGCCCACAGAGAAAACTCTTTCTGGTACTTTTCATCGCTAAAATAAAACAGGTCGCAAAAGTGGGAAAGGAATTCCACAAAATAATGCATCATCAAGAGAAGCAGTCCCAGGTGATTCAAGTACAAGAGGTAAGCTCCCGCAAGGTGAAAGAGGTGAAGACCAACGTAGACAACTTGCTGGGAGAGATCTTGAGGTTTGATTCTCTGGAAGTAGAGTTCAGGAAAGGCGTGAAACCAGTAAGCCAACTGTGAGATATAGAAAAACTTCATCTGAAATGTCATCATGTTATTGGGATGAGCCCTCCATAAGACAGACAGGTCTGACAGGCAGTTTTCAGAGTGTAGAATGAATGTGCCCCAAATACAAGAGACAAGAAAGAACACACTAAACTGACCAGATTCGTTAAATTTGCTTTGTTTCGGTTTGGGGAACTGCATTCGCCTGTTAATTCTATCCAAGACATACTCTTGAATAGTGGCGTGAATGATGATTGCCACCAGCATGTAGAAGAACACTGTGGGCAAATCTTTGGCACCATAATGATAAAGGAACTTAGGTGCTGTGGCTCTTTCTTCTGCTTCTTCGGCAGGGAAGGTAACACCGTGCTGGAGAGTAATAAAAACGATCGACACTTCTGCTGTTCCCTCGAACATGAGCCCCAGCACGAAGAACATCCCCACACAGGCGACAAGGTCCGCATGATTCTGCAGGATGAATTCCTGGCTCAGGACTGGGGGGTTCTTGGTGCCCTTCTTACGAAACGTCATGGTGGCGCTTCCCAGATACTCACCGACGAGCGGCAGCTGCCTCCCCGTGGCTGCTCCTCAAGGCGCCGCCGCCGCCGCCGCCGCCGCGGCTCCGGGGGCTTCACTCCCCATCCCGGAGCCGGTCCCGGGTCGCTACAGCCCCCCAGGGAAAAAAAAAAAAAAAAAAAAAAAAA